AACAGAGTACATTTACACCCATCGTCTATTTCCCAGACAGTCTCCCAGGAAGACGAACCGCAGATCGTCGATGAGGAGAAATTGAATGGATCATCCAACCTGAATACTCCCAAGGAAGAAACTCCCAGGACGGAAAATGAAACAAAATCCGGAAATAGGGAACTTTATGAACCAATGCTAGAAATCAAACAAAACTCTCCACCGGGTGAAGAGGACCTTCCTAAAACCCATAGTGGCAGACCTATACGAATCCCAAGACAGTATCTGGATTACCAGCAATAAAAAAAAAAGGGGGAGATGTAATATATGTTGATGATTTAGATAAACATTAAATGTAATGTAATATACGTTGACAATTTAAATAAACGAAATGTAATCGAGTAGGTACCGAGGTGGCAAGACAGAAAAGGGAGTGAGAGTACCTCGAAAGAACCAGCTGGATGTAGAAGTGTTTAGTTGTATTAATAAAGAGTTATTCGTACCATGTTATCTGGTCAGTTGAGTCCTTTATAATACACTTTGTTTGACCATACTATCACTTAGTTATTGTATGTCTTTTCCTTTGTCGGTCTACATACCTTTTGCATGAACATCACAAAAGAATACTACTTCCTATGAAGTTCTAAGACAATATAAGGGATATATATCTTAATATTTTACCAAGAGAAAGCAATTTTTAGAATATGTAAAATAAATATCAGATGTTGTATACAACATCTGATATTTATTTTACATATTCTAAAAATTGCTTTCTCTTGTAAAAATTGTATACATTGATACTAGCGCTGCGTGCAAAGTAGCTTTCACTTTTTTCCCCTATTAGATGATGTGAAAAAAGCAAATAGAGTAAAGACACTCTTTTTACTGGAAGTCATCTTTTGGAAAATGGACAATATTATATGATAATATGCTCCTATTAAATTCTTGTCTAAATTAAAGATATGCAGTAGCATGAACAATATCATTTTGAAAGAAAAAGGTAAAAACATGATTACTAAAAAGATACCATTTAGCAACACATACTAAATCCAAAACTATAAATAAAGGAAAAAGTGCAGATAGAGATATATAAAAAATTTGGTAAATACTGTAAATGCTACAATATAAATGCTATAAAGAAAAAATGAATAATAATTAGCATTATACATAGGTTTTAGTTATTATTATATATTAAGTAAAGACAGCTGGTAAAGTCACATTAATTAAAATGCCTGCCATGTATATAAAGGGATTGCTGCAATTAATTTCATGTATTAATCAAATCATGCATTAAGAAAGGGATATCTGTACATTTTTTATTGGTATAAAATTACTGAATTTAAATAATTCTATAGCTTCAAAATGAGTGTTTGAATTTCCTATACAAGCAAAGCAAAAAAGTATCTCTCTCTAATGCCAAATAATCTGCTGTATTATTGGACTATAATAAGGCTAATATTAATAAAAAGTTATAAAATAATTTGACAAGAAGTAGACAGTTAGGTCACCATCTCATGATAATTTTAATTACAAAATTAATTGTATAACTATAATTCTAAAAAAATTAAATAGACTTTTTTCTAAATTTTAATTTTTTAGAATTATAGTTATACAGTAGAGTCCCAAAAACTCGGCCTAATAAGGACCGAAGGATGGCCGAGTTTGTGAAAATGCCGGGTTATCGGGAATGGGGTTAAATAAGAATAAGTACAAGTGTTTCCTCAGAAAATACTGTACTCTACTTGTATGTATTGTTTGCTTGAGAATACAACAGAGAATAAACTACCCAAATACCCTTAAATAAAGGAAAAGTATGTACTTTATGAAGGCATAGAGCCTTTACTACATGAAAATGAAAATTAACGAATACACTGTGTACAGTAATTTACCTGATAAGACAGACCTCAGAAAAATACTTTATGAGGCATAAAGCTGTCTATAATGAAAATTAATTAACTAAGGAATTTTTTGCCCTGCCAGGGTGTGGAGTTATCCAGACTGCTGAGTTATCGAGTGCCGAGTTTTCGAGACTCTACTGTACAATTAATTTTATAAGTAAATAACTGATCCCATTGCTTAACTTGATTTTTGTATTTTAACTAATAATTTTAATATACTGTACATATATAAACATCCCAAAGCCTGATGTATTAATAATAAACCAAATTTCAGCCTTAATTAGCTTATAGAATAAAATAGCCTGATTAATTAAGGCTGTCGTTTGGTTTATAATTTTGATAATTATAATAAATTAATTTTTAATTTAGAGGTTTAAAAATTCTGTTTGTGAACTGTCTTTCTCTAAAATCATTTTTCTAAAAGCCTATTGTCTTGTTCACTCTTAAATCCTTCAATTTCATACATTCACATAAGATATGTTTTCTTGAAAGCAACTTGACACAAAATTTACAAATTCAAGTAATTAAACAATAAAAATTTGTCTTTTATTATTAAATCTTTTAAATTTAGTCTTATTTTCCTATAAACCTTTTTAAGTCAACAAAAGCCTCTTAATTTAAACATTTAATCAGATTCTCTAGGTCAGGGATGGCGAACCTATGGCATGCATGCCCAAACTGGCACATAAGGAGAAATCATCTGGCATGTAATGTATTATACGATTTCTGTCTTTCTCAATCATCTTTTCGGTTTATCACTTGATCTTTTTTTTTCAATCACCTTTTTTACATTTATTCTAATTAAAGCATATTCATTTAATTTCTTTAAATATCATTATTCGAAGTCTGAAACTTTGGCATGCATAAACATCTTTAAAGCTAAGTATGCTTACAATATGGCATGCGAACACAAAAAGGTTCGCCATCCCTGCTCTAGGTTATTTTATAACGTATTGAAATCAATAACGAAATTGATCATTGTTGCAGCCTTTTCATCCAATATTAATAATTGCAAGATTTCTATATTAATTAACAATTTCATATTGTAATTTTTTATCTTCTTACATAACATGAAAACCCTAGATGAAATTCCATATTTAATGTAACTAAAAAATTATAAGAACTAAAATTAAATAATGAATATCCATTTTTTTAAAACATATTGTAAAAAATACAAATAAAGACTTTACAAAAATATTTTTATTTGTATGTCTTCCTTGTCATCCCTTTCACAATCACAGGAAACATGATCCACATTGATATTTGGATCACAGTTTTTATTTGTATAAGTCTTTATTATTTGTATTTTTTACAATATGTTTTAAAAACATATATTTTGTCCTAGATTTTTTAGAATATTTTTCTTTCCAAAATGAATATCCAGTTACCAAACTTGAATCAGTTAAGATCCAAATCTCCAGTGATACTCGTTAAATGAGTATCACTGTAGATTTGGAAGGTTTTTTGTACAGGTAGAAGGAAGTATATTACCTCCAGTATTTGATAGGAAGTTCAGTTGTTAAGATCCAAAATGATAACAAACTTATACTAGTATTAACAGATTAGAAATGGAAAGAGTTTCAAGTATTATTTCAGGACAGATTTAATAAAAAGTTAGTCAAAGACTAATGAATACCTAAAGAATAAAAATAAGAGATGGAAAATCTATTTTTTTTTTATTCATTAGTTATATAAAGGAACAGAAGAGTGTGATAATAACAACAAAGTTCTTAGTATAAAATTTACAGATAGGAAATGGGAGTGAACTTCTAGTTTTTTTATTGAGTTTTGAATCTTCTGATATGAATATTAAGAGAAATGTGTTAATTTAAAAATAATAGCTACTTTCTTCTATTCTTGACTAGCTTTTAAATTTTTTTATGNATAATATTTTAGTTTGAAGAGAAAAAGAGAGAGAAAAAAGGAAAAAAACAAACAACTATTTATTGTGACACTGTCACAATGCCAGGCTGCAATTGTTAATTATATTTTTAAATTATTTACTTTAAATTATATGCTTCCACCTCAAATTAGTAGTGTCTGGTCCCTGTACATAATACTTTTCTTCTTAGCAAGCCCCTGTATACATACTTTTCCTGTTAGCAATCGAGTCATGTTGGTCATGTATCTAACTCCTTTGAGGAGAAAATTTTTTAATTGAAACAACATAACTTCTTGTTTGCATTGTATATAGTTAATCTCTATTAAACCTATTATCCTTGAGGGAAATTTTATATATCCTTGGTGTTCTTTCTTTGTCCTTGTAGAGACCTTGTATACATTGGGTCTACAAGAAGATCTCTCAAACAATGCTTCCCTAAACACAAAACAGATATTAAAAAAAGAAAAAACCCACTGCCTTGGCTATACATGCCAGTGAGATCAAGATTATATCAGAACTACAACAGGTTACTATAATATGACAAACCCATCATATAAACCAATTTAGGAATTTGGAGGCATTTAAAGCAGACCACCAGAGCCATTCAATCAATTTTAAAGACAAAAAACAAATCTCAAAGACATGGCAAACTATGTATGACCTGACACTATAACAAACAATGCATGCACACATATTTAAAAATTCATAAAAAGAAGCATTTGAAATTTGAATACTTCAGAGCCAAACAGAACACCAAAAACACCAGAAAGAATCTTTTATTGAAAAATCTGCCTGAAAACATTAGTGATAATTTTCATAAATAAGTGCAAAGTGCAATAAGGTTAGTACATTTTGTTTATAATTAATGAATTGTTTAGTGGATTTGGTTTTATCTATATAAGTAATTTTACAAAACATTTATTCAATAGATTTTTAAACATCATTAAAATTTTCTAGAGTAATGCCAAGGTAAGTGAATTTTGATTAATTTTTTAATAACATATGCAACCAACTCAATAATTAATTCAAATATCAAACAAATAGCCAGAATTAATTTTTTTGTTCAATTTTCTGTTTTATTTTCTGTGTGTTGCATAGAACAAAAAAAAACAAAATTTAATTTTGTCCAAATAGGTATTTTGTATGTTATCAGTGAAAGACTAAATAAAAGACTAAAAGAAAAAATTTTATTTATGTCTGTGAATTTTCAAATGTTTTCCTGGCATACAAGATTATTATAAATAAAAATTTAATACCTATTTTTCAAACAGTATTGATTTACAGTGACTATGAAGTTTACTTACAGCTAAGTAACTTCCTGAACAATTTGTGCTTGATGGCATATTAAACTCTGTAAAAGTAAATTCAATCAAATAGTTTTTGTCAACTTCTATTAACCATGAACAATCATCAGAAACATCGTAATTTTGAGGATAATTTGGCGAAACTATATTCCCAGAAGATGCTTTATATAAACCACCACAACCTATTTAAATAAGAAAATTTAAAAATTTATTTTTAATTAAAGAATATATGTTACTTCTGTACAGGGTGGCCCAGACCACTTGTACTGTACATCACCTTTTAAAATGAAGGGAAGCAAATTTCATCAAAAGTCCTAAAAATTTCTATGAGTAAATGAAATATGCTCTATTGAATGGTGATATTTGCAACTTCTGAGATTGGCTGGTAATGAGCTATTCAGGTTAAAAGTCAATTTTATTAAATCAAACATATTTTTAAATTTAGAATTGGTTTAAATTCAAAAAATAAAACAATTTTGTCTTAAACATTTTTTTCTGAAAACATCTTCATTGATCATAAAATGATTTTGAAAGTGAGAATAAACTCTTCTTGACAAAACCTTATTACAAGTTGTTTCATTGTAATATTTATCAGCTGGTTAAATATTCAGTGTCATATTAATATAAAAGAAAAAACATGAGAAGTAAGTTAGAAAAGGGTTTACTACAACAGTTGTAGCAGCCTATATGAGTAATGAGAATGAAGAGACATAAAGTCAACAAAACAGAAGGGACTGTCAACTACAAAAAAGCCAACACATTATCATCAGAATGTAAATCATTGTTTAAAGTTATATAAAAAAAATTTTATTGGATTTGTGAATAAACTCTACCATATATGTGGCAATGATCAATTGGATCAATATTTTACATAATTTACATTTGTAAATTTTATTCTATATGTTGTTCTATATTGTTAATTTGATGTAAACCTGAATGTGATTGCTGAAAGTAATTGAAAATTTTTGTTTTTGAATTTATTTAGTTTGTGTGTGCTGGATTTTTGTTTATTTAATGAATTGATATTCAGTGTCAACAAACATAAGCATTACACTTTGTGTTTACATTTTCATTTCAAATAAGTTTTCATTTTTAGTTGCACACCTATCAAAGATGTCATAGTGATCTATGTAGCCATGCCCTATGAAATTCTTTGAGCAACAAATTTTTTCAAACAGAGTATATGCTTGCATTTGTAAAAACAGTGCTCAATTTGAACAACACTTAAAATTCTAAATAGAATACACCAAAAGAGTTTACACAAACAAATTACAGTAAAACCTTGCTAAGTTTAACTACATTAACTTGAAGCTGTTTACAGGTCCCTAGCATAGTATATAGAGTTTTTCATATAATACAGTCTCCTTAAGTCGAAATTGTTGGTATTTTTACTCAAACCCATTTTCCTGTGTACAGTACATTCCATCCTTTGATAGGTCCCTTTTCTGTTATATTCCATGTGAATATAAATAATTAATATTAACAAGCACTATGGTTCCATTCTTAATACAACACCATGTCATTACAGTTGTGCATCAACATCTTTTTACTGATATAGTATGTTATTGACATTATGATTGGGGCATAAGGAGGTATCTTGAGATGCACTCAAAAGTATCACAAACTGTATACAACTTTGTAATCATTCTGTGAACAGATTCTTGAGAAATGGCTTAATAATGAAAAATTTACAGTCACAGAAAAATTTTTAAAAAATTGGGTATTAAACTTGTTAATTTGAAATAGAGTTTCAAATTACACAAAGTTAAAAATAACTCAAAGTTGAAATTTTTTTCCTCCTTAAACTTCAAATTAATGAGGTTTGAATAACTGTGTAGTAGTAGTAATAAATTTTATTAGTTCAGCATCAATTACATATGATTATTATACTTTGCCTATATCAATGGAATTTTAATTAAAATATTTTGTAACATAAGATATTTTAACAGTGTCATTTTTCTCCATGCATCACAATTTCCAGATCATTTTATGATCGATGGAGGTGTTTCAGAAAAAATATTATAGACAAACTTGTATTATTTTTTTATTTTAATCCTATTCTAAATTTAAAAATATCATGTTCAGTTTAATAAAATTAATTTTTTGGCCTAGATAGTCCATTACCAGAAAATACTGGAAGTTGAAATTATCACAGTTTGATAGAGCATACCTAATTTATTTATCAAAATTTTTTGAATTTTTGATGAAACTCCCTTCTCTTCATTTTAAAAGGGTCCTAGGTGTGGCTGGTCACTCTGTATAAAATATTATTTGTATAATAAATAGAATATATTAAAAATTCTATATATATAAAGCATACACCAATGCATAAAATGAATATATTTATCAAATAATTACATTATTTTAATGTTACACCAATTACAAACTAATTTTTACCTAACTACAGTATATAATTAAGATGTCTAATTGAAATCATTTCACTATTCCATATCTTAAAATCTAAAAAAAAAATTATATAAAATTTTAACTCTTTAGAGTTATTATTACTAATGCCAATACTGTATTAGATTATATTATTAACAGAGCTTAAATTTTTTTGCAAATAAACATTTGAGTTTTTGTTAATATTCTTGAAAGTAAATAGAAAAATGAATACAGTTGTCCCTCTATAGTCCGACGTTTTTTAATCCGACATGCTCAGTAGTCCGACGCACCTCCCGTCAAGGTACCCGTCCCCGTTACGTGTCTGCTTGCACAGAAGCATGTCGCGATGTGAATCTCCCCATCCAATTCTTACTCGATGACACACATTTCGTGTGTTTTATGTGAGCAGTTCTGTTCGAACAGTTGGAGTAGAGAATATTGTAAGTTACTGCTAGCAAAACAATGTGAAATATGTAATTATTTTCGGTAATCCGGACACTTTTGGTAATCTGACACACGTTTGGTCCCATACCTGTCAGATTATCAAGGGACAACTGTATTCAGAAAGCCTACAAACCTAAAATTCAAGATTTATAAATGCATATTTCAAATACAAAAGCACATTTTCAATATTCTGCCTACTAAAGCATATTTTCTTGTTTTCAAAAATTTTTCAGACAGTGGGAGTAACACAGCACAGTCCATAGTGAGTTTAATCCTAAAGATGGAGACAGATAAAACCCCAAGACTTGATAATTGTGAGGTCCCGAAAATAGTTCAAACTTAAAAGGATTTAAAATAAATTCTAATAAATTATTAATGCAACAAGAAAACAAATAACCAAAGTGTCGAGCCAGTGAGACTGGACTTTGATATCATCACTCATATACAATAAAGAAAAGGAGATAGAACTGTGAACAAAAGAAACAGAAAAATGGAGAGTTGTTTATAATTTTAAAATGCAACAAAAGGAAATAACAAGATAAAGTATGAATGCAGGTGTCTTAGTTATTGATAACTTTTGATCAGAGTCGAAAGGATGGTGTTGGATAAACCATCCTGGACAGATCTTTCTTGCGATGTGAGCTGGTCTTGAATTCCACCTGGAGAGAGGTAAGACACTAATAGGGAAGCAAGGAAGGGAAAGCCTGACTAATGAAAAGAAGATAATAGGAGAAAGGAAGTATAAAAACCATCATGTGAAAGGACAAAAACTTCTGTGCAAACATTCCCTGAGGCCGTTGCTTCCTTCTGTGTCTACATCCTGTGCCATCGACTTCTCTAAATCCTGAGCTCAATCAACTCAGACCTCCAACCCACTCACTGCTGTCCCAGGACTGCCCAACCAAAACATCAACCAAACTGAATCTAGACCAACAGGAACATCAAGACTATTCTGTTATTAGAATTTATAGTATTTATGTAAGCATAACCTTCAACTAAATAAATGGTTCTGTGTTAGCACTTGTTTTCTCCTGAAATCACCACCCACATATGCAAGGGCCCTAGGTCATCACTAATGAGGGAGTAAAAATTTTCCCTGTCTAATTGGCATACATATACAATGCATTAGAAAATCAAGCTTTTCCAATGTTTGGTGGATTCAAGTAACAAACGTTTTGTATTATTTGGATGGCAAAGCCATATAGTCTACTAACTCCAATGTAACTGGATAAGCACAAATTATTATATTATAAAACTAAAAATACAGAAGTTTTTTTAAAATAAAATTTAAGTTAAATGAGACAAACAAATATTTTTGATAATCTTAAATTATAATTGTCAAGTTACATTCAAAAATAGAAGGTACTGCTAAAATAAAAGCTTTTTAAATTTTACAATTACCTTCTCTTGATTGAATAGAATTTATGGCTACATTGTCCTTGTCAGCAGATTATTGGCAGACCTCTTGTAAAGTTTTTAATGCTTGTGCCAACATATTGTTGTCTTTACAATTAATTGTAATACATTCCTTGTATGCCCTATATATTGTAGATATCAACATTGTGGCTGTACACCATTGTCTGTTTTGTGTGTTTTTATTATTTTTGCATTATAAAAAATAATGCAAAAAACATAACAAACATAAACTCCCTTCTGGAATTTACTAACTCCCTTAATTCTTCAACAGCACAACATATGAAAAATATAGACACTATTAAGCAATCGTTCACACACTACACAAAAGCCTAGGAACATTACAATTGAATAGAAACACATACATCACACTACAGAAGGCCGCTATACTGAATATATGTCATATTGTTAGGAAATTCCTGAATACAGACATACACACTGACACACTTATTTAATTTTTGTCTCGTTATAGTTGCTATGCCTTGACTCTGGTCCAGCATAATACACAGCAGCTAGTGTCAATTGAGTATATAACCCATTAAACCCATAATAATAATAAAACACTTTATTTTGGATAAATAGTCAAGCCTATATGAAAATCAACTTATGACAAAGATTTTTAAAAATTTCAATGTTTTATATTAGTTATTTTTTATTATAATGTATTTTTATGACAACTATTTTATGCATTGTTTTTACAAATTATATAATTACTCTAATTTTGTTGAATATAAAATAAAATATAATGTAAAATTATAGAAATTAGCATAACATATATTATTATTAAATATATTTTGAAACTTTAATTATAACACTATAATTCTACATTTAACACTAAACTTCTATTATATTCCACTTATTAAAAATTTATAATTAAATTTAAAATTAATTTAAAAATTGAACTTATTCTAATGAGTAAAGTTTTATATGTATACGTACCACCATCAATTGCTTGATAATGGGCAATAAATCCTTTGCCATTAATAGTATAATCACTAGAAAAGTGCAAAGTCATATGATTGCCTTGAGAATGAATGGTTTTATTATTCTGAGTATCACATAGTTGTAACAAGAGTGGTGCAGATAAATCACTACCACCGTATATCTAAAATTCAAAAATTTTCAAAATTAAATATTTTAAGATTTTTTATTATTATTATAACATTTAAAAATTTATTAAACTTGTTTATTAGTAAATTAAATGTGGAACTATAAAAATTATTTTAAATTAAGGTCCCAAATACTATTGTATGATTTTAAAGAAATCACAATTCAACATAAAATGCTTTTATCAGAACAAAAACTTAAAAATCATATTTTGTTTTGAAAATAATTTGGATTATATAATTTAAAAGCTTTCCTGATGAATACAGTAATACCCCAAACTTACGCGATAGGTGGGACCGAGCGGTAACCACGTAAGTCAAATTCACGTAAGTCCAGGTATAATTTCACATATAAATACATACAAATAATTTTTAATTGGGGCCAGTGACTAAAGAAAACAATAATTTTAAAAAAAATGTTTAATAAAATCTTAGATAATACATATGTATAACAAATTAGGCCTATGTTATTTTACAATTTTTCACATTTACTTGATTATTACGCCATAATTTTAACATTGTTTCCATCTCAGTGATAATACTGTGATATTTTACGAATGATGCTTGAATTTAAAGATTGAGCATTTTTCACAACTTCGAGAATTTTTTCTTTGCCTTTTATAATTGTTCTGACCGACAATTCCGGTAGATCAAACTTCTTTGCCAATTCACAAATTTTCATTTTTGTATCGAAGTCTTTAATAATGGGTACGTTCGTAAAGTCAAACGAGTTAAACGCGTTAGTAACGAATCGTTCGAAAAGTCTAACGAAATAGGAATAACGATGACTTCATTCTCGCTTAACTCGTTCGACTTTACGAACATACCCAATGTTAACTTTACATTCCAAAGATAAAGTTTTTCTTTTCTTGTTTGATGCAGAAGAATTAGTTCTACTTCATTTGGATGATATAGTAGAGTCTTTCAAGTCTCCGTAGATATAACAAACACAGAAATAAATAACACAAAATAAATTGTAGCTATGTATGGATTCTGCGCGACACATCCGAACATGTAAGCTGAACAATAGTGTGGAGGGAGTGAGTAATCAAGGGTTGCATGGCGCTCAAACAAAAGACGAATCGACGAGATTTGAAAATCGCGTAACTCCAGGTTCACGTAAGTCGGGGTATGACTGTACATTAAAAACTATTTAATAGCTTTTTTAATTACACATTGTAACAATTAATTTTTAAATAATTAGTATTATTATTTCTATTAATTAAGGTAAACAGTAAATTTTTTTACCTTTAGGTAATCATAAAGGCAATCATGTGCTCCTTCTAACTCAAGGTGTTGTATTTGGATTGAAATTCTTTTATCTATAGGTACAGATATATACCATATGCATGAAATATTTAAAGGATAATAAGCAGGATAATTTGGAGTTGTAATAGTATCTGACCACCTGGTAAGTTCACCACCACAACCTAAAATTCATATTTGTTTTATAAAAATTTGTTTACAGTATATGCTATTATAATAACTAAATTACAACAAATATTAAAATCAAATATAAAACTACTGCTTTCTTTTATGAATCTGTTTATTTTATCAATTCAACTATTAATTCCTCTTGGAGAGACTAGCCAAGATTTATACGGTTAGTAATTTTCATTCCTTTTGTTTAAAGGAGAAAAATTTGTAATTTTTATAGAAACAGTCAGACATACACAAACATCTCAAAACCCAATGTTATTAATCAGAACCTGTAGTGTTAGGCACTTGTTTTATATTGTAACTTATTTTTTTTCTTTATTATTGCTGTATTTTATTATTTATTTGTGTCGAGTTTTACTATTTTTGTAACGCATCGTTGTCATTTTCCCTTCCGGTCACCCACCACCTTTTGGCAGTAGTCGGTGGACTGCTGATTGGCTGTTGAGGTGGCTGCGTGATAGGGGAGGCTGGAGAATCAAACATAGAAGGATATAAAAGGAGTGACCCCACAACAGGTATTCACCTTTTTTTCCTTGGGACCTTCGTGGACTGTCCTTCACGAGAGAAAACAAAAGAAGACAAGGGATGAGAAGGGAGGTAAGGGGTCACCACCTGCTAACAATAGACTGTCAGGATTAATTGTATTGGAAGAAGAAAGAAATCGAATTCCATTGGAGCATTTAAGATACAAGGAACGTAAATTTGAAGTTTAGACAAAGGAACTTCGCTTATTAGTAACTGGTGATACATTAATTCAAGGTTAATAACATTTTTCCCAAGTGGTCATCACCTCTCTATTGTTATCGATCATCAAGGATATGGCCTTATGCAGAATATTGCTCAGGCAGACCAACGATTTGGATTCCTCCTTGTAATAGATTGTAATTTTCTTATTATCTGTACTTGTGAATAACGGGCCAGTCGTTTGTAATAATCGGATATTAATTACCTTTGTATAATCAGCTATCATCTCATGGCCAACGTGGCCACAACCACATGTAGTACGCTAGCATAATCTGACATAAAATCGAGTGTTTTTTTATTGAAGTGTGTTGTATGTGAGGTCCTCATTTGTTTTCTCTTACCCCACTTTAAGACCTGGTGTATTTCAGTGCCTGCTAAGGTCTACAAGCCAAACAATTGCTGTAATGTATTGAGCTACTTTTCACTACTATTAATAATTAAATTTTAAGTAATTTGTTACTAGAGGTAGGTATTAGGTGTCATCTCTTATTAAATTTAATAATTATATTTAAATTAATATTTATTAAATAATTTAGAATATTCTGGAAGAAAAGAATCAGCCTGGTGTGGGACATGAATCCACAACTCCCACTTACTATGCAAATGCATTGCCAATTATGCTACCCAGACCTCCATCCAATCCTCCCTTTCCAAAAATATTTAATTTTAGATATAACATCCACAGTCACTTACAGCACCAACTGGGGACAACTTTATAGTCCTTGGTCTATAATCATCCATTATGTAGCCTGCCATTGCTTTACCTTGGCATGGATGGTATATTATATATATACATAATATACTATCCATGCCAAGGTAAAGCAAAGTATGTATATATATATATGCCTATAAGTACGTATGTATGTATATATATACAGTAGAGCGTCGTTTATCCGAAAGAATTCCAGTCGGCAATTTTAAATTTTTGCCAGTGCTGTGGTGCTGCAATCTTTGGCTACGTCTTGGGCTACTCAAATATTTTACATTTTTGATACTAAATTAACTTCTAAAGTATAAGTTTTTATTGTTTTTATATTTTTCAATATATTTATTTTGTTTGTACAAAATAAAGAAATAATTTTTAACGATACAATAGTCACGATTATTATTATAAAAAGTTTACATTAGGCTTAACATCGACAAAAATTCAATGCAAAGCAACACGCAACGGAGAAAAATTTCAACATAGGATAGATTAATATATTTTTCGTACATAATCGGTTATCCAAAATATCGATTTTCCGAACAACCCCAGTCCCCAATTGATTCAGATAAACGACGCTCTACTGTATATAACTAATCACAATTGTCAAACTTGTAGTTTATGGTTTTGAATGAATTTTGTGATTTAATTTATAAATAAACATGTAAAGATGCATTGAATTTGTTGCAATTTTTTTCTCCACATACTATACTAGTAATTTTCCACTACTGATTTAATCATGCTTCCAATCTTTATAATTACAAAGAACACAATACAAAAGGATATACAATTACTTTTCCATTAAGCAATAAATTATACAAAGGAAACTTTCTTCTTATGGTTTAATTGCAAGAAAAGCATCATCAGAATTTTAAAAATATGTACACTTCAATTATATAATTAGACTTAAAAAGAAAGATATATTTATTTGAATACATATTATAATTTGTTTTAAATATTAAATAAAAAATTACAAATACTAATACAGTAAACACTCAATTTAAGAAACCAATTGGGGAAAAGAATATATATTATTACCAAAAGTCTGTTCAATTGAATATGTTTTTAAAAAGATGTATTTATAATGAACTTAAAATGTGCAAGATAAGTTACAACATATTATGATGTATAAATATAAATAAAATAATATGATAATGTTTATTGAGTAATTTATACTCATTGACTCATTGTTCAAATCTTTTTAGCATGCACTATTTGCAAACAAAAAAGAGTTTTTAATTTTTCCTACTAGACAAATTTTTTGTCTGTTAGATCTGAAATCTATTTAATTGAAGATTTACTGTATATTTTATATTACCTTCAACTTTCCACTCTAGTCGAAATCCATCATAAGAAATACTGTAATCACTTTTAAATCGTACAATAACTATATGTGATGATGATGTTAATGAAGGTAAAGTCGTAAATAATCCACAGTATTTCTGAATTTGTACCTCAGTATCATCACGCAATTTTTCTAAAATCTAAACAAAAAATAATTGAAAAAAGTTTTTAAAATGATTAATTTTAAATGATTAATTAATTTAAAAATACTGACTGAAATTATTTATAGTAAACTTTTTATTTTAAATATCCTTAATACATTAAAAATAAAAGGAGTAAATACAAGGGTGAATCAAAAAGTAAAGTCAATTTTGAAAGTACTCAGTAAATATAAGAAATTGACACTGACATGCAACACCATGTCTGCACATGGGCTGAAGGGTAGCTAGTCCCACCCAGCATTCCATCATTTAGTCAAATTGCAGCAAGCAACGATGTTGGAAGTATGGATGTTCCACTAAGTGATTGCACCATTGAGGAACAACATGCCATTCTGTGAGCAGAGGGGGTTAAACCTGCAGAAATCCATCACTGGATGTTGGCACAGTATTGCACACACAACATGCATCTATGAGTGGATAAGGCACACTTTAAAAAGAGAAGAATAAGTGTGATGGATGAAAGCCAACATGATCACCCATCAATATCACACATGAAGCAACACTTACAGAAGGCAAATTCCTTGATCATAGAAGACTGACAACCAATGTTAGCAAAAATAACAAAAATCATGGACATATTATGAATCTGTACAAGCCATAGTGCAAGATGACTTGGTATACCATAAAGTTTGTGTACAGCAGGGCCCAAACATCTTACAACTCAGCATAGGCAGCAGCATGTAGATTTTGCAACTTGGTTTCTCCAATGCTATGAAGATCCCAGTACCTTGGAACAAATGACAGGTGATGAGATATGGGTACACCAATAAAAACTGGCAAGCAAGAGGCAAAACATGGAGTAGAAACATCTGTCCTACCCTGTTTGCAAGAAATTCAAACAACCATCCTGCAAAAAACTAAAGCTAATGCTCTCTAATATTCTGATGGCATTCCAGGTATATGATGAAACTGTAAACAGTGCAATGTATTGGTCTTGTGCTTTGCTGCAAGACCAATTCATCAAAAATGACACAGACTGCTGGTCCAAAGAAGTGCTACTGCTCCACAACAATGACAACCACATACAGCAACACAAATGGTACAGACTGCACAACAGTTTGAATTTGAATTGCTTCTGTGTCCTCCTTATAGTCCCAATCTAGTACCATGTGATTACCATGTCTTCAACCTCTTGAAGGAGACATTATGTGATTGCAGGTTCAGCTCAGACTGTGAGGTTCAGCAAGCAGTGCAGATGTGGCTTAATGAGTAACTAAAAAGCTTCTTTTTAGAAGAAATTAAGAAGCTCATTGATTGATACCAGAAGTGCATTGCTGTGCAGGGGGACTATGTAGAAAAGTGACATGTGCATTTGTTCTCCATCAGTGGAAATACAGTTGTTATAAGGAAATTGCCTTTATTTTCTGATTCACCTTCATAAATTGAATTTTAATGTAGTTGAATATTAACATTGTTAGTCTATTGTCTAGTCTTTTTATACAAAGATCATTGAAAAACACTTATAATTTTATATATTTTCCATTTACATATTGTTTATAACAATCTTATCTGTTAAACCATAAATAAATCTGTGCACTCAAAAAAATATAACAATTAGTTTGTTACTTTGTAAAATAATCTTTATTTCACAATTTCTTTCATAGAATTAAAATTAATGTTAAAAGAAACTTTACCTATTTACAAAATTCACAAACAAAATTTTTTAATTAACTTTTTCAAAAATTTTAATGAAAAATTAAATTCATAATATTTTAAATTTTATTTTAAAATAAATTTTCTTAACTTAAAATCAAATTAAATAAGAACACCAACTTATTCCTCAATATGAACAAATCTTCCTTAACAAATTTGAAAAATCAGTAAAAATTATTGTGAAAGAGGGGAAAAAGTATTTAAACAAAAATATCTTGAATATATGTATATAAATTACCTTAATAACAGATTGGTATCATATGTATTGTATCTATTAATTGTGTAAATGTTAATAGGTTTTAGATAAATATATTAAATACATAAATAAAAACACTCCCAAATAAATGTATAATCACCTTAAGCTGTTGTATTGGACCAAAACGTTTTACACAGAAGAGACTGCATAGAAATATGCCAAATGACTTCTGGATTAAATCAGGCTACTCTTGCCACTTTAATCTGGCAGTTGTTTGGCATATTACTAAAATATCAGGTTTCGGGATTACGGATGTCCTGATACCACAAAAGTATCAATACCAGCATCATGAGTAGTTTTAAAGTGTCAATACCAGTATCAGATCAGTATCAATCTTAAAGTATCAATACCAGAGAGTATTGGCTGAGGGTATAAAAACATAAAATCTTGCCAGCTGTTGCTGTTCAGTCTGTTGCATTGCCTTCCAGTTGTTTTTACTGCTGAGAAAGTACTGTTCTCATTAGAATGAAGGCTAAGTTGACCCAGAGCAGAAATTAATACTTTATTGCTTACCTGGAGAATTGAATTCTAGCTACCTGCTTCAGGAGTCAGCACGTCAGTCAGTACTTCAGTTTACACTCATATAATATCTTATGTACAGTACACAAAAGAAGTCCCAGATGTACATTCCTGTTAATGGGTTCTGTGGATACTATTGGGATAGGAGTGGATAAGAAATTGTTGAAGAAGAGGTAAAACAATGTCTTTACATTGAAAGTTCTTTATTGTATTCAAATTTTACAAATGTCAGTTCAAACAAGTATACACAAATTGTAGTTCATTTTAAACATCACTGGTGGTCCAAGTTGATTAACAAACAAAAGTACTACATAATATTTAATGAAATATTTATTTATAAATACTAATCAGAACTAAGTGTATTAATTATTACTTAATGATTTTTATTAAGCATATTTATTATAATAGCATATATATTGTAATATAGCCATTACCAGCAGTTAAATATTAATACTGTTGAAAATTCTTGTGGATATGTTAAATATATGTCTGATTATAAGTCCTATAGTCATCAGAAGTATTTCACCAGAGGTTAATTGTCAAAGCCTGTGAATACCACTTGATAGATGTGTTAGTTGTATATATGACTATACAAATACAATAAATATCAGAAGTATCTCACCAATATATAGTTAAAATATACTGTAGTCGTTAGACGTATCCCACTAATAGGTGAATGTAAACTCTTTAAAACATCACTTGAGAATGCATTTGTTACATGAATAATTGTGAGCAATCACGTTTTTACTTTAGAAGAACCAGAATTGTATTTATCTTTATTTTTTAAAAGTATTTTATTATTTTTAGATGTAATACTGAGGAGGAATCACTAAGACAGTGTGATTCAAAATGAATTTATATTAGAGAAAGAATAATAAACAATGTGTCAAATGCTAGCATAGTTACTTGGATTGCTGAAGTTCTAGACAATTGAAATTTGGAATAGAATATATAAGAATATATGTACCAAAATCAATTGGTGTACAAATAAAGAAATAAGTAACAGAATTAGCATATGTACATTCTGGAAATAAAATTTGACCTAATTCATTTATTAATTTTTGGTCATTAATATGTTTTATATAAGTCTAACTTAACCGAAAATAGTGTATAATTCTATTTCAGTTTCTGATTCAGCTGCAAAATCCAGTTTCAGACAGACTTTAGTTGCTTGTGAAAAATGTAGCAATACCAGATCTGATACATGAGAAAAAGTATCAATACCGGTGTCAGTATTGGACCAAATGTATTAAGTACAATATTGAAGAATCGAATCAGTATCGAAGAAATGTAGCGATATGGTATCAGTATTGACAGTATTGGGATATCCCTATTTGGAATGTTTTTATTAGACTGCATAGTATAGATAGTTTCAAAAAATAGGAGATTTTGGTTCAAAAATGGTTTTAGAATTTTAGTATAATGTGGTATTGTAACTGTACGCTATATTTTTGTACATATTAATTTAAATTTAGTTTAGTCTTTTCTTTCTACCCTTTGTCCTATTGTTCTATTTCCTTCTAGAACTTTCTTATCTTAATCCCTGTCCCTTGGGTGGGATGACCAGTTCTGAGAAATGGAGGAACAAAGAAGTGAGCAGGACCCTGAGGACAAACAAACAAGGGACAAAGCCTTCTCTTGCGGAACTGCAAAGTGTACAGATGAGAAGAGAGAACGCTCTGGGTCACATTAGTAACGACCGGAGATCTCGGAAGTACATTAAGAGAAAGGTTCCTGTTTTAAGGGAGAATTGACAAAAGTGAAAAAAAAACAAACTTAAGTATAGAATAAGAAGAAAACGAGTCAAATTTTTGGATATTATCATGTAGTATCCCACCCAATAGCACACACAGTGCAAATACGCTAACAAAATCCCGGGTATTTCTGTTTCTATTATATATATTCTTCCTTCGTCCTCTTGTTTCTATCCTTTTCTTCCATTATTGTTAAGTTAGTGTATAAGATTAGTTTTAAGGTCAGGCTTCATATTATACCGATCGGGATCAGTACCGCACATTTTGATCTAACGAACTATTGTCCTAGCAGTAAATTCGCATATGATTGTAATGTATCGTGAAGTTGAAATTCCCAAATGAAAAATCTGTATATATACACGAAATTGTTTATTTGTAAAAACATATCATTTATTATTTTTACCATATCCTGTCTGCCTTTGTGGTAATTTTAATTTCGTGTGAACTTTCACAGTATTATAGAAATTATAGCATGTTAGCAATACGCAGTAATTTTCTTATAAAATTTATTAACAATATGTATATTTATTAAGGTTTATTGTAATTATTGTATTTGCATATTTATTTGTTATAGTCTGAAAAAGATTATGTAAATTGCCAAAATATGTAACATGAATAATAGATAAGATAAAACTGTTTTGAAAAATCTTGTAAGTCTTTGTGACATAAACACGTGTTAAACAGAAAATGACATTGATTTTGAATTTGTAAGGAACACATATAAATTTAATAAAGCAAACAAAGCATATATTTAACAGTGAGTAACAGTTTGGGAATCGTCTTCCTTATCTGGTAGTTTCTCCTTAATCTTTTACATCTTTCACCATTATACTCTACCTCCCCTTGATTGTTTACGATATCTCAAATATCTTAACTTTCCTATCCTGCATTCCTCTTCCATTCTACTTTGTCTGAAGACAAACCATTAACTAATTCAAAATTATTTGCCTATCCTCAGTCAAACACTGTTAAAGATGTATTATTTGCTTTATTACTCAACTATATTGGCTAGTTTACTTTAAAATTTTATGTCTTACATCTTTACAACTTTACTTTTTATATATATTATTATACTTTTAAATACTCTTTCTTAATTTATTATTATATTGATACTTCCAAATTATTTTTTGCACTTTATATTTAAATTATATTCCTTACACATTAAAACATTTAGACAAAACATTTAGAGAAAGCTAATATTTTCAAACTATATTTGAAATTAAATTTAACATAAATATTTTTAATTACAGGCTATAATAAACAGTCTAAAAATAATTATAGAGAGTTATCAATCTTACCTCTACGTAGTCAAAATGACAATCAGTATGTGATTCTAATATTAAATGTGAAAAAGCAATAGAAACATTATTTCCTAGTGGGGCTTCAATTGTCCAACTACAGTTATAATTATGAGGATAAGGACTTGGAAAATTAGGACTTTCAATTACTCCTCTATGTCCTGTTAATGTATTGTGGCAATCTAAAAAAAAAGAACTATTGTTTTAGCAGTAGTCTACATTTTTTGATAATAAAAATATTTTATTAATAAAATTGTAAAAAATTTTTAAATATTTATTTTTAAAAAATTCTGACTTTTGGAATAACAAGTATTAAATTATTAAATCTGCTAAAGATTTAAGTTCATTATATCACACTATTAGGATTTAAATTTTGATACTCGTCTATCTAATTTACTCTTTTTCTAATTACGTTTTTTAACTTAACTTTTAGATTATATATTAGGTATAACCAACTAGACATGCTTCAAGAGCCACCATTAGTATGAGCTGATAATGTGATTTCTTTAATTTAATATATTTTTTTTTTTTAATTTTTGAAAAAGATTATTGATGTTATCTATCAAAATAAAAATAAAAAGCATTATTATACAAATATATGACATTTATTAGATGAAACAAAGTTGAAAGTATTTAGAAAACATAACATACAAATAAATTAAATAGTAATTTTATCAATTAATTTTAAAACATTTCAATAATTAGATTGAATAAAATTATGAAACAAGCTTTAATGTCCAGAAAATATTTCTATTCTTACTCATTTTCAGCAAAGTTTCAGTAAAATTATTACCATAATTTAATTTTGAATAGATAACTGATGTTCTAGACCAGTGTTTTTCAACCTTCTTGAATACGCAACCCCTTTACAAGTTAAAAAATTCTGGCGACCCCCCAGGGCCATATTAAAACTATGTCAGTGATTTTAAAAACTACCGGTATGAATTTAATTTTCTTTCTGTTGAGATTTAATTATCGATCAAAAAACTAATTGTACTGTAAAATAAACAGGCACAGCCTTCTCACTGAAATTGTAGTTTTTTATATTGTAGTGTAGGACCTACAAACACTTGTCTTTTTCTTTTACCCGCGACCCCCCGTGTATGGCTTTGCAACCCACCTGGGGGTTGCGACCCACAGGTTGAAAAACACTGTTCTAGACTTTCAGTTTCATTTTGAATTTGGAGCCTAAGGACGGGTAAATTTAGTTACTGAAAACACACACATTTGTGGAAATACACTGCTTCAACCATCCAGCCACCTGTATTCTAGCATTAACATTCTTATATTTTTTAAAATATGTACTACATGTTCTATACTTTATTAAAAAACTGTCTATTTTTTTGGTATTTATTATAATTTTTGGATTCAAAATATTAGAAATAAATCAATGTTCTTAATATTTTTTAGGTTCTTATTCAATTTATTTTATGTCTTTTTAAAATGTTCAAATTTAGTAAAGTAAAAATAGCCATTTATCTTTTTTTTTTATCAGTATATGCATGTGGCTGTATGCCATATTTATTGTAAATATTGATTTAAGTTAGTTTTAGTTTTCTTTGTTCTTTGTTTCCTTTTCCTTCTATAACTTTCCTTTATAACCCTTTTCCCTTGGGGTGGGATTACCAATTCTGGGAACCACGGAGAACACAGAGATGAATGAAGCTCTGAGGCTGGTGAAAGAGGAGAAAAAAGAGGCTGGTTCTTTGCCCAGACTTCGAGGTGGACAGACGTGAGTGGTGGTGTTCCAGGTCACATTTGGCAACAGCTGGAAAGTGCAAGAGACTTTGATGAAAGGATCGGGTTTTATCGTGGTTACAATAATCGTGTAGCAATTAAGTGCAAGAACAACTTCAATGAACATGACAATGAGAGACCTTCCAAAAGAGTTCAACGTGGTATCCCACCCAGAGATTGTAGAGTTCAGCAAGAAAGAAAACCCCAAGTATTCCAATCTTTTTTATGTTCTATTTCCTATCTCCTCCATTCCCTACTATTTTTTCTATCTCTAGTTTTAAGTTAGTACACAAGTTTTAGTTATAGTTTTCGATTTTTCTTTATATTGTCGCAAACAGTATACTGTAAGGTCTCGTTTTATGCGGTGGATACGTTCTACAGAAAAGCGCATGAAAAAAAATTCGCATAAAAAAAGACTTTACTTGCCTTGAAAAAGTAGGGATACGTTCCGTAATTTTCTAAAATCGCATAAAACCAAAACAACGAGTTAAAATTAACTTAAAACCGCATAAAAAAAGTTTGCAGATATTAAAAGAAATAGGCTGCTTAATGAATTAATTCGAATGTATGAAAGAAATTCATATAAAAGCTTAAAATAAACTTGTATTCAAACTTAATTCAGTTTATTTTATTGAAAAGTAATATAGTTTTACATTTCTTTTGAATTTTTGGAATGTTTTTTAAGTCTCCAAATTTTTTAAAAATATTTAAAAATATACGGCCAGCTTCACCCTACTTTAAACCCTTGTCCTCCCGCGACGTTTATGAGAATGCCCCAGGAAATCCAACTCCAGCTGTGTTCAAGGTCATCCAGATGTATAAACTGACTCATCGGTGTTAAATTTCACAGAAGGGCAAGACAAAGGAAGTTAAACTTTGAAGCTTTTTCTTCAAAATTAATGCATTTCTTTCCTTTTTTTCAGTTTTAAGTATTTTTTATGTTTAATTACATTTACATCAAAAATTGCTAGGAACTAAAGTGATTAAGGTAGATGTAGCTGTCCTTTACATCCATAAAGGTTATATGTCAGTGGAACAAATGGAGTGAGCTTTGAGCATCCTACGATTTTTGGAGACTGTCTATACGTGGGTTTCCTAAACAAGCCTATATGTATGTTTGTCCAAGAAATTTTTGGATGAAATACAAACCGCACAACTTCAAAATCGCATTAAAAAAATCCGCATAAAACGAGACCTTACAGTATGTTGTTTGCACTGTATTACTGTATTTTATTTTATAATACCATGGAGTTGGAATCTAAAATAAAAACCTGTACATTTTAGGCAAAATAAATTATTTTGTTGATCATATCGTCACATAGTTATTGAAACATGTTTCTTTTGTCAGTCTACACCATTTTGCGTGACTAACAATAATTAGTTTCTTGATAACAAATTTTTTTATACATTTTTTTTATATTTCTGTTACAGGAACAATTATATAAGGATAATCAATTCTGTTGCAGAACTTATACAAAGAAGTTGCTCCTTCTGAGTCTCCACCAAATACATATAATTACACCAACATTGCCAAAAAATATTATTTCCATTGCTATTAGTAAAATACGTACATTTTAAAAAAGTATTACATTTGATTTTATTTTATATTATTTTATTATTCAAATTTTAAATCTTTTTGTGTATATATAGTGTATATATATAAAGTTAGTAATTCTTTTAAATTATTTTCCAACAATTTTACTGTCATATCTTTATTTTAATTATGACAGATACTATTTTCTATATATAAGTCTATTTTCTCATGCCTGAAAAATTTATATGATTTTATTTTTAACATTTTTTAAAAATTTAAATAAAATCAGTCACCATTATTATATTAAATATAAGATTAAATATAAATGCTAAAAATTTTTCTTACTTGTTTTATAATCAAACTTAAAACCACGTCCACTTTCTGATACATCTGTACGAAATTTTATATATAATTTATTTTTTGAAGAAAGAATTATATGAGGATAATCAACTCCATTGCAAATCTTATACAAAGAAGTTGCTCCTTCTGAATCTCCATCAAATATCTATAAGTAGACCAAAATTACTAAAAAAACTATTATTTTTATTGTTATTAGTAAGCTGTATGTATTGTAGTTTTTTATACAATTTAAAACAAAAATATTGTATTGT